TATATAAGACCTGAAACTTTGAATCTGCTAAAAGAAAAAGAAAGTACTCAGAATCAGAGGCATGTACAAAGACTTAAAGAATAAAACTCTAATATCATAAGCAATAAAAACAAGAATCAACAAATGAAATAATATAAATTAAAGTTTTTGCATAGCAAGAGAAGCAAGAGAAGCAAGATTGAACAAGAGTTTCCCAGTGTTCCTATCTGTAAGGGTCTTAGGAGCTCTTAGGGTCTTAGGAGAGTAAGGATATAGACTATGGAATGGAAAGAAACCTTTGCCAGGTACTTTTCTGACAAGAGGATTAATATATAGAATATACACAAACTTAACACCCAAAACACAAATAGCCCAATGAGTAAGTAGGCAAATGAACTGAGATATACTTTTCAAAATAAGTACAATGATCAATAAGCATATGAAAAAATTCAATATTTTAATCATTAGGGAAACTCAAATCAAACACTGACATTCCATCTCATCCCAATCAGAATTACACTTTTCAAGAACTAAAAATAGTAAATTCTCATGAAAAAAGAACACTTCTACATTGCTGATGGGAATACAAATTAGTATGACCATTATGGAAGTCACTATGGAAGTTTATCAAATAACTGAAAATAAAAATACAATTTGACCCAGTTATACCCACACTTTGAATATATCCAAAGCAATCAAAGTCAGTGTATCCATATTCATTATGGTATAATTCATAATAATCAAGATACAAAATCAACCTTGGCACATATCAACAAATAAATGGATAATGAAAATATAATATATACACAGAAAAATATTATTCATCCAAGACTAATGAAATTTTGTTCTTTCCAGGAAAATAATGGCTTTGAAGATCATCATGTTGAGCAAAATAAGCAGATGCAGACAAATGTCGCATGATTTTCCTAACATATGGAATCTAAAAAGGTGACCCAAAAGTAGAAGGTAGACTATTATTAGATGCTAGACAAATAATAAGGAGGAGGAAAAAGGCATAAGGGAGAGAAATGAGGGATGGAAATGATAAAAAATGTACACTGAAATTCAATATTTAATAAAACTAATGAGTACTCATGAAAATAAAGACATTTCTCTGCAATAAAAAATATTTGGCACCTACTGCTTGCAATTGTTATCTGAAGTGGGCGCAGTTTTCTGAGACTGAGCTCTTAACCTGTGGAATCTGACCATGATTTGGGTAGACAGTGGAGGAATTGAGTTAGAATGCTCAGTTGGCATCTTCTGGAGAATTGCTCTGCTTGTATGGAAAAGAATCCTTAAATATTTATTGCCAGAAAGAAGCAAGATACAGTTAGTTTAAGTGAAGAAGTAAAAACACTTTTGTCTTGCATATTTAACACAACTATAATAATTAGAATATTGACCAGTTGACCAAAATATTCTGTGGATTTTCATTTCAGGAAACTTACATGAAAATCCCTATAATTTCACATAGTATTATCTCACAATTCTCTGATATACACGTAGTGAATTCCAATTGCTTATACAAATTTCCATGGTTCAAATAAACCTCTTGGGAGGAATTACAAATCATACAGTAATAAGGAATTGTGCTAAGAATACAGTAGTAGACAAAGTAATGCAACTTATCACAGTCATTCAAACTCCATAATTCTATTAATACAGTAAGAAGATCAACATTGTCTATATACAGTAATTATATCTAGTGGTGATCCAAAAAAAGAACTGGACAGAAACATATGGAAATATTCACATTTAATCCTCCCTTGCTTTACTTCCTAAGGGTAAAAATGTCAAAGAAGTGAAGGGAAATACCAGCTTTTCTCATTAAACTTCTGTGGTGTTTGAATCTCTATAATTAGGCTCTGAACAACTGAAGGAGATTTGAGGTTGAAAATCACTGCATTCGAGATTCAAGGTCACTTAGCCATCAGTTCTCAAAGCTGGACCTAACTCAGAATCACATTTAATGCGTTGCTTCTTTTCATTTGTATGTGCCTGCATATTTGTCTGTTGTCACCTGAGTTGGCACAAAGAAAGATGACCATATGGACTGTATTTCCCACTGTTTTCCTATGGTCCCAGCCTCTGCATATGAGGTCATAGTTACTTAATTTTACATTGCTCCTTCCTTATATTTTCTTTCAGGTTACTGACAAAGTGTTGATGCCAGGAAGATTAAAAACTGATGGTTTCCAAGACAATGAAACTGCATACTGAATCAAATTAACTTGTAACCTTCTCAGAGAACTTAGCACCAGGACTGGGTTTGTATTTCTCTTCCTATAAAGCTCTATGAGGTATGATAGGAATTATATGGTAGAGGTGTGATGGCAAATATATGATAATGTTAAATTTAAAAAACTATTTACTTTCTTTAGGTCTTACTTATCTATATTTGTGATACATAATAATTACGTTCAGTTTGGAGAATTTGTATACATATATACTGCCTCTGGCTCATTTGAATTCAACTTTTCCCTTTTCCTTTCTTCCTCAAATCTCCTACCCCCAAGGAGTATAGTCCCTGTTTTCTGCCATCTCTCCTTTATTTTGTTTTAAAATTATTTACACTTTGTATTTTTAATATAAGAGAAACAATATGCTGTTTAACCACCTGTGTTTGATTTATTTTACTTAGCACTGTCTCAGGATCCATCAATTTTCTTATGGAACACTCAAAGGAAATATGTCATATATATGAAACATTTTCCTCATCCATTCATCTTTTGATGACTCTATACCATAACTTAGCAATTGTGAGTTTTGAATTTTGCTGCTATCGATGTCGGTATTCATGTATGACTGTAATATGATGACTTTGTGTCTTTCAGGAAGATACCCAAGAAATGTATAGTTTGCTCAGATGGAATGTCTATGTTCAGTGTTTTGAGAAATTTCTATACTGATTTCCATGTTAGTTGTGCTAGCTTAATTTTCTACTAACAGTGTGGGAGGGTTCCTTTTCTCTGACATCATCTCCAGCATTTGTTGTTCTTTGAGCTCTTGATTACAGCCATTCTTGCTGAAGCAAGGTGAAAACTCAGTGTTGTTTTAATTTGCATTTCCCTAATGTTCAGAGATGCTGAACATTTCCCCCATCTATTTATTGGCCATTTGTTCTCCCAATAAATGTGTATTCACTTCAGTTTTTCATTATGTAATTGGGTCTTTTATTTTGAGGAGTCTAATTTTTTTGAGTTCCTTATATTTCTAGATATTAGTCTTCTGTCTGAGGATTAATCGTCAAAATCCTTTTTCATTCTGTATGTTGCCTCTTTATTGGCTTTTTCTTTTTGCTTGCTGAAGCTTTTAAATTCAATATAATCTCATTTGTTGATTCTTCATGTTGTTTTTTGTGCAATTGGGGTTGTTTTGAGAAAGCCCTATTTATCTTCTACCAGATTAACATGTTTCTGTTTTAGTCTAGATTTCTGATCCATTTTGTTTTAATTTTAGTACAGAATTAGAGACATGGGTTTAGATTCATTTTTCTGCAGGAGGATAATAACTTTTCCCAGAATCGTTCGTTAGAGAGGTTACCTTTTCTCTAATACTTGTGCTTTTAGGACATTTGTCAAAGACCAGATGGTGAAAGTACAATGGGGCTCTTTTCTTGTCTTATTCTATTTTATTGGTGTATACGTCTATTTTTGTGCCAACACCATGTTCTTTTCTTTACCATAGCTTTGTAGAATAACTTGAAACCTAAGATTGTAATGCATCTTGCTTTGCTATTTTTGTCTTTGGTTATTTGAAGTCTCTTCTCATTCCATGACAATTTTAGGATTTTTTTCTAGTTCTGTGAAGATGTTTTTAGTATTTTGATAAAAATTTCATTAAATCTATATCGGCTTTGGCAATATGGCTATTTTGACAGTATTAGTTTTGTGCATACAGGAATAGGGAGTGTCTTTCCATTTTCTAATGTTTTCTTTAATCTTCAGGTGCCAGAGTGTATTATAGTTCCATCATAGAAATTCTTCACTTCTTTGGTTGGGTTATTTACTGAGTATTTAATTTTTTGGAGTTACTATGAATTGGATTATTTCTCTGATTTAATTTTCAATAGATTCACTATTGGTAAACAGGAACATTACTGATTTTTGTGTGTTGATTCTTTATCCTGTCACTTTGCTGAATTTATTTATTAGCTTTAAAAATCTTTTGATAGAATTTTTTGAATCTTCAGTGTAAAAGATAATTCCGTTTGAAAATAAGGATAGCTTGACTTCTTTTTTATTCATAGTCTTTTTATTTTTCCCCTTGTCTGATTGCTCTGGCTAACGTTTTGAACATTCTATTAAACATGGGTGGTGAGAGTGAGCATCCTATGCTGTTCCTGTTTATAGAGAAAATATGATACTGATAGTGGGTTTCTCATGAATGGCTTTTATCAGTTTGAGGTAAGGTTATATATATTTTTATCAGTCATTGTCAATGACTGTTGGATTTTGTCAAAGACTTTCTCTTCATCTATTGAGATGGTCATGTGGTTTTTGTCCTTGCTTTTACTTATATGACATATTGCATTTATTAATTTATCCTTGTGTCCCTGGGATGAAACCCACTTAGCCTTGGTGTATGGTCTTTTAGTGATTTATTTTAGTATCTTGTTGGAAATTTTAAACTTTGTGTTCATTAAATGTATTTTTTTCTGCTTTAGTATCAGGATAGTTCTGGATTCAAGAAATGGGTTTGTCAATGACGCTTCTCTTTTAATTTCACAAATGTTTGAGTATTATTGACATTAATTCTTTTTTGAAGTTCTGGTAAAATTCATTGGTGAATATAGCTGGCTTTTCTTCGTTGGTAGAATTTTTATTACTGTCTCAATTTCATTACCTGCTGTTGGTTTATTTAAATTTTCTATGTATTCATGATTCAGTTTTTTGATGGTCTATGTGTTTAGGAATTTACTCATTTATTCTAGATTCTCTAATTTATAGGAATATAAGCTTTCAAAAATAGTGATATTTTAGTGATATTTATTGTGATATTGTCTTTTTCATTTCCAGTTGTACTAATATGGGTCTTCACTGTTTTTGGTAAGTTTGGCTAAGTATTTATTAATCTTATTTATCCTTTTAAAAAACCAATGCTTTGATTCATTGATTCTTTATATTTTTTTCACAATCACTTTGGTTTCTACTATGACCTTTGTAATTTCTTTCCTTATACAAGTTTTGATTTGAATTGCTTTTGTTTTTCTAAGACCTCAATATGCATCATTCAGTTATTATCTGGGATCATTCTATTTTTCCAATGTAGGCATTTATAGAAATAATATTCTACTTTAGAACTGCTTTTACTGGGTTCCATTGGCTTTTGGTATATGGTACTGTGATTGTCATTGTATTCTAGAATATTTTGAATTTCTCTCTAGCTTTTTCCTCTGGCTCATTGAGTAGTCAAGAATGTTTTATGTAATCTACATGTGATTGTGTAGTTTTGTGTAGTTTTAGTTTGTGTAGTCTTTTGCCGTTTAGCTCTAGTTTTATTTTTATGACCCAATAGAATTCAAAATTTATTTCAATGCTTGTGTATTTGTTTGAACACACATTATAGTAGAAGATATGGCTACTTTGGAGAAAGTTCTGCATTTCTGAGAAAATATATATTTTGATTTGGTTAGAAGAAACAATATAAATGTCTGTAATGTCTGTTTTTCAATGATGTGGTACACTTTTGATATTTTTTTTATGTCTTTGGTCCAGTTGATCTATCTGTGAGTGGGGTTTTAAAATTTCCCAGTATAAATGTATTGGTATCTATCTTTCTTTTATGTTCAGCAGTTTTTGTTCTACGAAATTAAATGTGCTGACTTGATACACATATATTTATGATTGTTATCTTTTCCTGTTATTCTCTTTACTTAAATGTATTGACCTTCTTTCTGATCAGTTTTGGCCTGAGGTTCACTTTTTCTGAGCTTTGTATAGCTATTTCTTTCTTGTTTTTGGACTTCAGTTGTATGGAATATTGTTTTCTATCCTTTGGTTTCTTCCCTCAGGGGGATTTGAATTTTTGCCAAGATGAAGTGCTTGCCAGAGTTGGGCTTTTAGCAGTGCTGTGATTGAGCTGCTGTTGTTACTAACACTCCTGTTACTGGAAGTCATCTGATGGGCTTCTCCTGTAACTTGCCTTCCCAAGGTTGGATTTTTGTTTAGCCCCATCTAGTCCATGCAAACCTTAGGGAGCATCTTCTGAGCATCTCATGAGTGCTGCTTCTAGCCTGCCATGATGCTCCTCCTTCTATAAAAAATGTATCACAGTAAGAGATTTATTGCCATTAATCCACCTCAAAATATTTCTCCTCTCTTCACACACTATTCCATCATCCTTCCTGATTTCTGAAGCAGGTCTGGAGGTCTTTTTCCTGAGCCTCTTTATGAAATGTAATTTAAACACACACTGAATGGTGCTGGTGAGTGGCAGTAGTGGAAAGGCAGGCATGTAAAATGCTATTGTGTGTCCTCATCTCCCTATTCACTGGATCTAGCACTGTGCAAATTCTGGCTCTTTCCAAAATTTGAATGACCATGAGAGGTAAATGTTTTGAATTGACTCCACACATCAGGACAGCCATGACGGCATGACTAATGATACAAGACTTTCAGAATCTCTTGAGAAAATGACAAGGACAATAAAATGAACATATTTGAAATAAAGGGGAATGTATTTAGGGAGATAAATGGGAATTCATATTCTAGAGTAATAATTTTTTTAAAAAAATTTTAAACATTCACCAATGTTTTTTATTATGCCTCATATTGTCAAAGTTTGAAAAAAAACAGTGAATTATTCCTGAACATGTGTTGGTTGTTGGTTGTAGTTGAGAATTAGGATTCCTGACTCAATTGATATTAATTTTGAAATTATCACAAAATATTTCTCTGTCTTTCCTTACTTAACGTTTATAGTTAAATAACAATAAAAATAAAAATACAGCTATACTTCCTTGAAAAACAACCCATATTCAAAACAAGGAATTTGAATCTCAGATAAGTTATTGCATCGATCTGTTTCATTCCTTGATTTTGGAAAAGCTTTATCTCACAATTTTTCTAAACAGACTTAACATACTTACAATTTTATGTATATATTAGAAAGAAATAAGAGGTACTGATGGTAGAAGACAGGGAAAAGAGAACAAAAAATTCTGAGAAACAGTGATTAAAGATCAATAAAATGAAAATAACAGTTGGACCATTATTTGGCCAATATAAACATATTAAATTCATAAGTTTTGGAAAAATAAGCTTCAAAGTGAAAGTCTTTATAGTTTGTAATAGAAAGCATCTTTTTGCTCACAGGAAAAGCTATCTTTTTTTACAGAGAAGAGGGAGGAATGAATGCTTTTGTACTTTGTGAAAATAAGACATACTATGAAAGATGGAGAACTCTGTTTCAACAAGTCACCAGCACAAAAGAAAACCCACAGTAATTAGAGCAAAAGCGTCACTCAAAATGGGATATTGCTTCATCATCCTACACACAGGTTAAAATCTAAACATTATGGCTATCTATAAAAAGGTGATCTGTACATTTGTATGCAAAAAAGAACTTTTAATATGTCTTTGTTGATTTTGTTCTAAGACCATATTTAGTCCTTTTTTTCATTTTTACTACAGAAGAAAATTAAGCTGTATAGCCCTAAATAGTCAAAGCTGCCTTTTTTTTTTTATCTTTACTTGTTGGTAAGTACTAGCTGGATTCTTAGACATGGACTTTGTTTTCTATAACAGTTCTCTTTTGCCCAGATGGTTATAGATGCACAAGTTGCATGGGAAATATCAGGCCATGAGTCAGTGTAAGAAATATTTAGAAACCTAGGGCCTGAATTTTTAGCTGGTTGAATAGGCTTGGAATTTGTTTATGGTTTCATTTCAAACATAGAGGAAACATATACTAAATGTGTGCCACAGAGCATTTGAAAAATCTTCTTTCCTAAGCAGAAACATTTTGCTATGTTCTCTCAAGTATAGAAACAATATGTACTCTTAAGGTAAAAATAATTATGCGTAAAGTAAAAAATCCTCTCTCTACCCCCAATGTCATCACTTTTTAACATAACTCATTGTTAAAACTTTGTTATTAATTATTCCAAATACTTTCTATAAATGTAAACACAATTTTAACTTTTTGAAATAAAACCACAAATTATTTTGTTTTGTAAATTATCTTTTATTTCAGCATGATAGAATTGTTATTGTTTGCATATAGAATGGCCCCAACTAGAAGTGAGACACTGGAGTTGTAACCCGGAAGTGTATAACTCTTCGAAGGCTCCTCCCTTTATGCACTGCTTCCTGGTCACCATAACATGAGGGGTTTTCCTCCATAACAGTCTCTTTCAGTGTATCATTTCTGTATTTGACTCTGCTGAGGATACATGAATGAAACTTCTGAAACTGTGATCCAAAATAAATCTCTCTTCCTTCAAGTTGTGGGTATCAAGTTTTGTGTCCTAGCAATAATAAAAGGAATAACAAGTTTTAGAATCAGAGAAGTAGAACCATGACCATGACTATACCTGACCATTTGATTTAGAAGCCTTTGGAAACAGCCTTCTGCAAAAGGCAGGAGTTTGGAGATGTTGAACAGAGAATTCCTGGAGTCAGCTCTGAGCCTGACTGGATATTTTGGTTGGAGCTCAAAAACCCAAAATGATAACAAAATTGTAGATGGTAGAAGAGACAAAGGTCAGGAGGTTTCATTTGGAGACAAACACTCCATTGGTCATTAGATTTAAGAACCTATATACTAAACTCTGGCAGAAAACTTGTCTAAATTGCCCAGAGAATTTGCAGGATATTGAGACTGAAAGCACTAGACTAAATAATCTGTCAAGGACTATTTCAGCACAGCCCAACATTCAGTCTGTAGCATGGATTACACTGATGGCTTTTAGTTGTATGTTCACTGAAATTTAGGAGAAAAAAAGCCCATTTGAAAAATGTGAAGTTCCACCAGAAACTTTTATGTAAAGCTGGTGCTAAAGAAAATCATGGCTGTGGAACAGATTAGCATTAAAAAATAAAACCAAGTACTTAGCATTAGGACAATAGTAAAGATGCTTTGCAAGTATCCAATTCACCAAAAGCCAGTTCTTCAGAGGCTGGATTTATTGCATTAAAATGCAAGAGTTGTAATGTCAAGAAAGCTTCCACTCAGATTTTAGAAGAAAGCCTAGAAAGCCAAGAGGTGTGCCTATAACAGGGCAGTGTGTGAAGGGACAAGAGTGAAGCCAAAAGAATAGTGAAGAATTCAGGAATTTGGAGAAGCCAGGAACATGGCATATCAGCTGAGGAATGCTGTAGGCAGTAATCAGAACCACTCCAAGAGCGAGACCACGAGAGTTGCTACTCGCAATGCTGTAGATAGGATTGCCCGAGAACTTTATAGCTCAAATCTCATCACTACTGCCCTGGGTGCTGAACATAGAGCTATGGCATTTAATATTTACCCTGCTAGATTTTGGTTTTGCTTTTGTCAGATTTCTCTATATCTGTCTGTCTTTTTTGAATGGAATGGAAACACTATGTCGTTGTAGATCAGAAGTATTTATCTTCCTTTCTGTTTTATACAGAGACTGACAGCTAAGGGTTTAACTTGAATCTTTAGTTTAGATTTTTCAGCAAAGATAAAACTCTTAAAATGTTGATTGTATTGAGGATGTAGCCCAGCTAGCAAGCAGGAGGTTTTGAGTTTGATTCCCAGTGCAAAAAAAACCCCAAACCAAACCAAACCAAACCAAACCAAACCAAACCAAACCAAAACAAAACAAAACAAAACAAAACAAAACTCACAGATATCAGAATTAAAACATTGTTGGCTGTTAGAGATGGATTAAAAGCCTTATGTATACAGAGATGCACATGTGTCATTTTGCGGGTCAGGGTCAGGAGTGGAATGGAATTGTTTAGACCTAGAATGTCTCCCAAGTTCCTCATGTCTTGAGAGATGGGGCTTGTGGGAGGTGATTAGATTGTGGGGTACTATAACTGACTTGATGTTAGTTGGTGGGGTCTGACTGACTGCAGGT